GTTATTAGAAACGAGAACAAGCAGTCTTACTAATAATTCTACTTCACGACAAGACCATACTTGGGCAAGGGTTATCAGTAACAGAGTGTAGCAACTCCACTGCAACACTATATAATTGGTGACGTATAGGTCCCCATTAGGTTCACTCCACTCAGTCACCCTTGGAAACTATTGTGGTTAATTTCTAAGGAATTCATCGTGACAATTTGTGGCGTCATCCGCACCTGAAATTACTTGAAATTACTCACTGATACTACGTCAATACATACCCACAGCACAGACAGAGTTATTATTCCATTATTATCTATTAAAAAAATACCATCGGCTACATGAGCAGTTAATTTGAGCTTTGCAGACTAAAGAAGTCTTCCTTAATAAAAATTCATCCAGATGTTTATATGAATGAGAAAATAAAAAATAAAATAGATCTTACCTAATATATGAACTTGTTAAATATTACACGCCCCTTTTGAGCAGTCGACAAAAATAACGGAACGACTGATACAATAATAGAAAGAGTATTTCAAGTTCTACAATAAGAAATACAAATATCAGAAGAAGATAATTCCATAGCTTCGCCCACGCGGAACTCCATATGTCCCATTTCCATTAATATTTCTATAGGGACCACCTACGAAAACATGTCTATGTTATTATCACTCAAGCATATTATTCTTTGCATTAGTGAAAGAATATTTATAATCTCTGGGTTATTTTTAGAAATCACTTACTTTGTATATTCAAATCTTTTATAACATCTTTTATAATAATATTGTAGAATGCAATAAATAAATTGAATCGAATTGAATACCCTAATCATAAAAAGTATTTCACATACTTAATACATTAATACATAAATAAATAATAATAATAAATAAATCTTTACTAATATAATAAATGTAAAACTAAGTTTATTTGTTTGTTACATTATAGCACCTTAATGGCTTAGTCAATCACTATGATATTTAGTATACGCATCCTTTATGAGGTGAAGTAGGACATAGGCTACTTATTATTCCGGTCAATAAACATATCCTGATCACGCGAACAAAGTCGCGAATAAAAGCTAGTAATGAATAAATGAGTAAACCAAAATTTTATATTAAACGGTTTTTTTAATGGAAGATAATGGAATGGGAGCCCGCCTACGCTAACTGTATACGCTGGCGGGGCACCAGTGATGGATGATAGGTGAGAATGAAAAAGTAGGTAAGTTAGCCCATTGTGATGAATACATTTGGAACTCAGCATGATGCTTTCCAAGGAGAATCACATGAACGTTGACCTGATAGGGTAAATTGCTAGCAATGGGACTAACAGTACGCATTTCAAACAATTAATTCCCCCCAGTTAAACGATTTTATTGTAAAGATACATAATATTGATGCAAATATTGTAAGGAAACAAAATTTTAAATAAAATCCTATACGAAACCGCCTGGCCAACATAGTATGGATTATTGAAGTGGATTATTTATTAAATTAAACTTATGTATCATAGCTAGTTCGTGTAAGATGGTTATCTGCGGCATTGCAGTTCCTTAGAGATGAACATTAGATGAATTGGTTCTTTGTATAATAATAAATCCGGTCTATTGGGGGAAAAGGGATTGTTAGTAATGGAGACTGAGAATCCTATTGCTAGCAATATACCCAACCAGGTCGACCTCCTCGCGGTTCTCCCTGGAAACTATCATGGTTAATTCCTGATGAATTCATCATGATGTGCTAACTGGTCTGTTTTCATTTTCATTCTCATCTTTCACCCTTCACTGGTGCTCCGCCAGCGTATCCCGTTAGCGCAGGCGGGGTTACCATACCATTTTCACCAATCAAAAAAAAATCCGGTCTATTTATAACTTATGATTATAGTTTTTTTATTATTATTATTATTCAAATAATTAGCGCCATCTGTAATATTTAACTATTATTACTAAATGCAAAGTGCTAACTATCCCCTAGTTTTCATTTCTCTCGCTCTTCTAGCATAAAATTTGGAGCCGACTTAATTCAAAATATACTCAATAGATGGCGTTAATATAACTCCGCAATAATAAATGGTATAAATAGTAATATAGTATAATAAAGAGTAATATACTATAATTATTAATAATATGATATCATAGACCATAGTTTATGTTTCTATATCATAGAAATAATGTTATAGAAACATAAACTATGTCTAATATTTAATTTTAATTCATGTAATAAAATATATGACACTTAGTTCATCATCATCATGTCAGCCTTTATTAACTGTCTACTGCTGAACATAAACCTTCCCCTTGGGGGTTTTATCAGTAGTTACCACGTTTGGCAGACGGATTGGCAACCGTAGTTAGTCTTTGGAGCTGTTTTAAGAGGGACGCTGCTACCCATCCCTTGCCCTCCGTCAGTCGCCTTTTATGACGCCCGTGGGAAAGGAAGGAGTGACTTATTCTATACCGAGACCACACGGCTAACTATGACACTTAGTTACTTTTGAATTATTTGCATATGTTTCAATGAACATAATGTATGTTTCTTACCCTTCAGTAAAGCCTAAAATCCCACCGTTGACTTCTGCAGATATAAGACTTTTTCTAGAAACTTGATTTAAATGAAAGACAAGCTACAATAATAGTACCAAGCAACAGGTATGCCTGCTCTCAGTTAGGCATAACCTAGGGTTTCAATGATGAGCTAAAATATAATACTATCCTATAATATAATATACTATAAAATATAACACCCGTGTTGCCTGCTCTCTATTAGCCATAATGTAACGTTGCGAGTTGAACTCCGATTAAATTTCAGATTGCTGACTCTTCTAGTTAGTTATATCATTACTATATCCTGCATAAGATATTCATAAATGCAAATTTTATTTTAGCTAATCGCACCTAATTACAAGAATAACAACGGTTTATATTCAAATAATACGAGTAGAAATCGACCCAGATCTTGTAATTGGATATATGTATTTACATCGCTACCTTTATATTTTTATTACCTATTCAACGCGACTTCTATCGTGTCACCGAATTTTGTCGATTAACCGTTACAAACGCGTGTTTATTTTTATTTTGTTTTACTTTTATTTTACTTTAATAAGGAAACATACAATACCTAAAACACATAAATAATAAACATAGCCATAACATATTTATGAAATTTCCACAATAAACTAACACATCAAGTAAACGAGAGCAGATGATTAATATGAAAAAATATATGACAATACAAACATGTTACATGTGACATTATGACAATACAATGTTCTTCTCTATCCCATATACTCATGATACGCTAATACCAAGGTTCGAGACGATTAGCTGAGCCATTAAGGCGTCAAGAGGAAACAAATAAACTTTCACATTATACTGTATAATAAACAAATGTATTGTCATAATATATTAAGTACGTTACACTAAGTCTATCATCAATACTGATTTATGTCACAAAAAGTGTTGTACAATCATCTAGATACATTCCTGTCACAATCTCACTCATATTAAGTGTTCATAACTTTTACTTACCAAAGTATGGCAACCTCGCAATTCTCTGTCAAATTTAACATTTCTCAATCTCTCTAATTAGTTAAAAAGTGCTCTGCAAGCGAACTAAAACATTAATCGTTGAATACATTGCATACAAATCTGCCATTAAACTTTGCACTTACTTCATATTTTACTTCGGAATTTTTGAAATATATTTTCGCCATCACAATCCAAACTTTCAGTGACAGCTTAATAAAAATATTATTGCATGATTAATGTTTTAATACCCTAACAGAGCACTTCTTAAGTAATTAATTAGAAACATTAAAAAATATTCAATTGGTATTAAAAATTATCAATTTTTGATAATTGCGACTTTTTTAATGAGTAATAAAGGAATAATAACCCCATCTACGCTATCGGTATATGCTGGCGGGGCACCAGTGAGGGATGATAGGTGAGAATGAAAACAGGTCCGTTGACCCATCATGAGGAATTCCACAAGAATTAATCAAGATTATTTCTAGTAGGAACCGTGTGGAGTTCGATCTGATAGGATTTTGTCAGCAATGGAGCTGTTACACCATCAACAGTCTCTTCCCCTCGAAAAAACTTTTAATTATAAAAAACTTCGTCCTCGCCTAATCATTCTTCGCTGATAGATTCTTAGATAAATACACATATTCTACTAATATTTATTTGCAAAGTGAATGGGCTCTCTAATCATATAATTTATGTCAACAACATATAGAAACTAACGAACTATCTGTGCTTACCATTATCACTTTTTAGGTTTATGTTCAAATCACAATTTAAAGTGAAGCCCATATTTTAACAATAGATTTTAGGGAGTCTTCTAATACATCAAAAATATCCGCATTCTGTCACGGAGACCTGAGGGCTTACCATGAAATGTTTTCCGAAATTTCGGAACCAAACGAAACAGAAATTTGATGTTAAAATTACATAATACATGCCGTTGGGAAATATTAAAAATGTTAAAATATTATTCCTTTGGGCTTTTATGATAGGATGTATGACGAACGAAATGTTAAATGTCATTGATTGGTCCGATTTTGGTATAAACAAAAACACGAAATTGAGTCCGAAAATTCGGAATTTCATTTCATGGTAGACCCGCTGTTTCATAGACTGTTTCTTTTAGAATAGGTAGAATTTATTACCTCTACCTTACTATGGTAAATACTACTGCAGAAATAACTTTATTTCAAAAATCATTTTCAGGAAAGATAAATAAGTAAGTACATAATACAGTCGCGTGCTATTTTACCGACAAATATAATCATTTTTAATAGAGGATATCTTACATCTTACAATTAGTATATATATAAGCTAGAATATAATTATTTAATAAAACCCGTGATTTTCTGAATAGAACACGAATATGAGGCGTTATCTGGTGTTCAATTCAAACACTTTTAATTTAATTGTTATCTTGATAGGTATATGTGACACTGTAACCATTAATGAAACATACTTATCTGAATTACTAATGGATAAAATGCTTACAAGCAGCTTGAATACCGTTCCAAATTTTAGGACCGTTTTGAAACAAAATTTCCAAGGTATGAGATATTTTAATGAGGATGTACATCTGAATATTACACAATTATTAATAAAATACGGCTATCCAGTTGAACAACATGACGTAATCACAAGAGATGGATACATAGTCACTATGTTTCGGATTCCAAGCAAAGGACCTCCAATATTTCTTATGCATGGATTTCTCTGCAGTTCTGATGACTTCTTGATGGCCGGGCCAGACAGTGGACTGGCATATTTACTTTCCGACGCTGGATACGACGTGTGGCTGGGTAATGATCGCAGCAACAAACACTCCAGACGCCACGTCACCTTGTCGCCACACAGTAAGGAATTTTGGGACTTTAGCTTTGACGAAATTGGTCACTATGATCTGCCAGCCATGATAGACTACGTATTGCAAATTACTGGCAGGAGTAACTTACAATATATCGGTCATTCACAAGGTACAACGATTTTTTTTATCCTCTGTTCTGAGCAGCCTGAATACAATGAAAAAATTTCATTTATGATAGCACTGGCTCCAGCCGCCTGGATATCTCACATGAGAAGTCCTTTCTTTAGACTAATCGCAGATTATACGACAGTAGTAAAAGAAATTCTTCAGACGATGGATATTTATGAAATTTTGCCAAGAAATGGTCTTTTAGATACAATAACTGCTGTTTCATGTGGCACACCTATTACTGCTAAAATATTTTGCAACAATCTTTTATTTAGTCTTTTTGGGTTTGATTACGCTCAAACAAACGCTACAAACTTGCCGGTAATTTTCCGACATTTTCCAGCAGGAGCAGGATGGAGACAGTTTATACATTTCGCACAAGAAATACAATCTGGAAAATTTTGCCCATATGATTATGGGCCTAAAATAAATCTAAATAAATATGGAACAATACAACCTCCAGATTACCCAGTTGAGAGAATAACAACGAAAGTTGCCATCATGTACGGTGATAATGATTTAGTTATAACTCGACCTGATATTGATATACTTATACAAAAATTACCAAATGTCGTAGAATTATACAGGGTTCCTTTTAAAAAATTTAACCATATGGATTTCTTATATGCAAGAGACGTGAAGAAATTACTTTACCGTCGAATTATTCATTTGTTGTACGAGTATTCTCTGAATGGTAATTATTAAGTCTCAATATTATTTATATCAATCTCCGTAATAAAATTCTGAACCAATTATTTGCATGAGTATTTATTCTACATCTCTATTGCTGACAGTTCGGCTAGCCAATCTTTTTATATGACATATTTGTATTTTTGCATTATTCCTTTTCATATTTTTTATGCAGCTTAGAATACCAAATAAGCTGACAGCCCACCTGATGAAAAATGGTAACCGTAGCCTATAGACAAGAACAGAACCATGGACATAACAGAGTTACAGTAGCACAGTACAAAATTATACGACTTTACCTCCACACTACGTCTCATACATATCATACCGTGACAATAATATCGTATAATGTCGTGCCAAAAAATCATTTATCGATTTTTTCTCGTGCCACCTTTTCCATATCCTCCTTCCTCTGCTAATCTTCTATTTTTTATTTAAATTTATACAAATACTATTGGAGATTAATCAAAGTTATAAAAACGTTATATTTGTTTGAAAAATTTCCAAAGCGATATGATCAAGAAACGAATTAATCTTGAAACATTTACTTACCGTTTAAAAAATCCTAACTTACCTCATGACTAATTTGTTTGTATATTATTTATTTCTATATAAATAGAGTATACCTCATGTGTCATGTGTACATGGGTCATAGTAAACACCAGTTTGTAACTGTAATTTAATATTATACATAGAGTTTTAAGTATTGTACAATTATAAAAAATTGCGTGCTAATTTAATGCCAAATATAGTTGCAATTGAGTATAATTACTGTACATCTTACAGACTTTACGAATAGTATAAGTATACCGGTAAACACAATTTTCCTAGTAATTAAGCGCGTGATTTTCTGTGTAGCACTCGAATATGAGACGTTACCTGGTGTTAAATCCTAATATTTTTAATTTAATTGCTATTATAGACTTAATAGGAATATGTGACACTATAACCATTAATGAAACTTACTTACCTGAGTTACTAATGGATAAATTGCCTATTTTGAACTCTAATACTGTTCCAAATTTTAAGACAATTACGAAACAAAATTTCCAAGGACTAAGAAATGTTAATGAGGATGTACATTTAAACATTACACAATTGTTAATAAAATATAACTATCCTGTTGAACAACACGAAGTGATCACAAGTGATGGATACATAGTCACTATGTTTCGGATTCCAAGCAAAGGACCTCCAGTATTTCTTATGCATGGATTACTCTGCAGTTCCGATGACTTCCTGACAGCCGGGCCAGACAGTGGACTGGCATATTTACTTTCCGACGCTGGATACGACGTGTGGCTGGGTAATGATCGCAGCAACAAACACTCTAAACGCCACATCACCTTGTCGCCACACAATAAGGAATTTTGGGACTTCAGCTTTGACGAAATTGGTCGCTACGATTTGTCAGCCATGATAGACTACGTGTTGCAAATTACTGGCAGAAATAACTTACAATATATCGGTCATTCACAAGGTACAACAACTGTCTTTATTCTCTGCTCAGAGCGGCCTGAATACAATGAAAAAATCTCAGTGATGATAGCATTAGCTCCATCAGCATGGATATCTCACATCAGAAGTCCTTCCTATATATTATTGTCAGCTTATACTTCAATTTTGAAAGAGCTCTCTCAAGCGCTTGGACTTTATGAAATTTTGCCAAGAAATCTACTTTTAGATACTATAATTAAAATTTCATGCGGCACGCCTGCAACTGCTAAAATGTTTTGCAACAATATTTTATTTTTTCTTTATGGATATGACTACGCTCAAATAAACGTTACCAACTTGCCGGTAATTTATGCCCATTATCCATCAGGAGCAGCGATAAAACAGTTATTGCATTACTTACAAGAAATACAATCTGGAAAATTTTGCCAATATGATTATGGACCGAAAATAAATCTAAATAAATATGGCACAATACAACCTCCAGATTATCCAGTTGAACGGATAACAACGAAGGTTGCCCTCATGTATAGTGATAATGATTTAATTGCAACTCGAACTGATATTGAAACACTTGTACGCAAACTACCAAATATTGTAAAGTTTTACAGGGTACCTTTTAAAAAATTTAATCACATGGATTTCTTATTTGCAAAGGATGTGAAAAAATTACTTTACAATCGAATTGTAGATTTGTTATACGAGTACTCTCAGATTGAAAATTATAAATCATTTATCTAAAATGTTTCATTCTAATCTTCGACTATACCAATATTTATTTTAAAAAAGTATCTAATTTAGCGCTGTATCTAGGATTCATTTTCACACGCCAAAGATAAATGCGCTGAGATATTTACTTCTATTTAATATCATAATGCATAATAGAATTAATAAAAAAAATAATTTAGTTTTCTACATACCATTTTGTGAAGTTTACTACTATGACATGTGGTGTTAGAAGTATAATACTGGTCATCACAGACAAAGAAAACGCATCTAGAGTAATCAAACAAGCAATGCATGTACTCCCTAGTTTTTTTTTAATGAATGATAATGGAATCGTAAACCCGCCTGCGCTTACAATATACGCTTGCAGGGCATCAGTGAAAAATTATAGATGAAAATGAAGCTGGTCACTTATCCTACCATAATTAATACATCTGGAATTAAGTACGATGGTTTCTAGGGGGGATCACGTGGAGGTCGACCTGATAGGGTATATTGCTAGCAATAGGACTAGTAGTCTACATTACAAACAATTCCTTATAATATCCCCATATATCCCCAGAGCCGTGATACCCGACTACTGGCTGATTGGCTATGTTATGGATGACAACAAAATTCTTAGACAAAAATTAAATAATAAAATACTTAATACTGTCTTACTAGTGTTTCCGCCATAAAGCAGTTGTGTTTGAATAGCTGTGGTTGAAAGGTGAGGTCATCCTCATCTTCGTTATCCCAATTATTATTTGGGGTCAACGTAATATATTTTTTTATTCATATTACAAAAATATTTGGCTTATAGTTTTATGACAGGCTGCATGCCTGACGTCAACCCTCTTTAGGAATTTCATAGAATAATCATTTTGTCTTAATATCAAACTGAAATTTTAATTTTAAAGAGAGACGTATGCTGAAGACGAACTAAAGAAAAAAAAACTATAATAGCTGAAATGCTTAATGAAAAGTGAGATGTGGCAGTAAAATTACTAAGTATATAACATTATAGTCCTCTAATATGATAACGCATTACAGATACCATGACAATTACAGCACATTCTGTGATATCTATGTACATATATGTTGCCTGTGGTCTCAGCATAAAATGAGCCAACCTGCCTGCCAAACATGGCAACTACTGACTGACTAACTAAATCTCCCTTATAGGCCTATATATTCAGCAGTGGACAGTTAACAGCTGACATGGTGATATTCATCTCTACGGTTACCACTTTTCATCCATCTGATTTTATACTATTGTACGTTGCAAAAAATGTACTTTTTAATAATTATATTTATTAATTACAAGATTTATTTTTAGCCAACGAATCAGCTTGATCTTTATGGGCAGAACAAACAGCTAATAAAGCGTCCAAAGCTAACAGCGCAGCACAAGCGAGCGAACAGACTGCTAGGGTTTGCGCGTAATTGCGACGGATGCAGTGTGGTATGTCATGCCATGCATGGAGGATGAAGGCGCCACATGTGCCAAATAATATGCTGCCTGAAGCAGACCACCATGTGTCGATGTACGCGTCCGCTGCCGCCGAGACCGTCTCGCCTGTATTGAAATAATATTATTAGTTATCTACCTTCATACCAAGTCGATTAAGCAGAGACAACCGAATGAAGAACCAAAGACACTGCCCGTACATACATCTTTCATTTCATCAACTTCATCATCGTCTCATACGTGTATAGTTTGTCGCAATAGAATTTAATAAAAATGTGGGTGTGTAAACCCGTTAACTCTTCCCTCTGATAGAATAGGCCTATCTGATCATAATAGGTAGTTTAAGTCTCTCCCGATACTTATGTCTATCCACATAGTACTCTAGTATTTTTTATCAATTTATTTTGTCAATTTTTCATCTGGTAGATAAACTTAAGTTTATATATACATAATTGAATATAATACATATAATTGGTTGTGTATGTTATTATATTTAATTGTATGTATACAAATGAACATTAATATATATTTACACATTAATACATATATACTTAGGCATGCATATATTTATGTTCATAAAGATAGAAGATGCTCTTTAAATCAGCTTTTAAAAATATTTAGGGATTGACTCTCACAGATAAGCTAGGGAGTTCCAAAATCGAGCAGGGAGGATGATAAAGCGCGTAGACGGGTGAGGAAGGCTTTTGAGAATAAGAGACTTCCTCGAACGACAGAGCACACCGTTAGGACAAAAAAGAAGGGTTGTACGGAAGAGAATATAAAACGATAGTATATAAAAAACTTAATAGCCATTTTAATTTTGTTATATAAGCAGAAACATTGTCGTGTTTGTTTAGATCATAAATAATTTTGTAGTTTCTCTAATATATTTAAAAGTTCTTCAGTTGTATCAAGATAGCGTATATCAGCGTAATTAAGAAGAGGTAACAGTATGACTTGAGCCGAAGTAATCTTTGCCTTAATTGTTTATTACAATTGGAGTTGTTTAAAAGGTTGAAACGAAAAACATAGCTTTTTAGTTACCCCAATTAATGTGTTCATTCCAGGATACTTTGCAGTCAACCATAACACACACAAATTTTTGTTACTTATTTGGCATATGGAGATTTATATTGCCATATAATAAATAAAATCAAATTTCTCTATAAAAGAACAACTTGTATCCATATCAGTGGTATTACATAATAATAGTTGTGTGCATACCTTGTATAGTAGATACAGATTCATCTTTTATTTTTTTTTTCGAAAATTAAATCTTTTTATTTTATGGTAATATAAAATTTGTTTCTTAGAAAAGGAGAATTTTTGAGGTCCTATTAATAGATACTAATACCAGTTCTAAGGAATGGGTTACGTTAATTAATATACTGTATATAGAAGTCGTTAAACAATAAATATGAGTTATAAGAATGACCTCATACAATTCCCAATTTAAGCAAAAAGAAACCACAGAACACAATTTATCAAAAGAGCTAAATTGCTATGAATGAGTTCAACCAGGATAAGTTTAGAACTTTACAAGACGAGAGTTATGGTCCTATAAGATATTTGTGATGTATGTCAGGTTATAAAAAATTGCTTTTTAAGTATTCTGGAAGACGTGAAATTATTCTGTAATATACGTAGTGTGTATACGTTGTAATTTACTACTAAACATAACTTTATTGGATTGTTATGGAAGTTACATCTCATTACGCAATTATTAGTATGCGTGTGTAGTAAAGACTATAACCCACACGTTCAGCCATTATTAAACCGATACGTAAAAATAATTACAGTTTAAATGCAATTTGGTCAACACTTAGGATTCCAAGTTTAGAGTAATTAATTGTTTTTGTATAAGAGATCAGGCAGTACCTAATGGAGGAGGTCATGAAGCCTTTATTAGCAGTATTCTGTACTCTGCCCCAAAACTTGATAGTCCCATACATACAAATAGTAGATGAATTAAACAAAATAATACTAATCAAGTAACCTTTTTATGTCTGTACTAAATATCAACAAAATATTAACGCCCTAAATGGCATTCAATAAATAGAATATTAATCTTAATATTAATTACCTTATATTCAACATATAACATATAACCTTATACTCAAAATATGTTAGTTAATTCAAGGCAAAAAATTCAATTTACCTCGGAGATCATACGCTGGTCTCCTCATCGAACTCCTCAGAGTCTAAATACGCCAGACTCAAGTCAAATAGCATGATAATTGCGTTCAATACTGCCAACGAGCCGCAAAGAAGGGCCGCGGTATGATCCCCCGTTCTGGGGTAGCTAGACCCTCGAGCCCTCGAAGACAGCACTAGACCGCCACTTGCAGCAAAGAACCCGGTTCCAAGAATACCAAAATACATATCTTGAACGAGGTCGAGTGGTGAAAATATCATTTCTCCTACAATTATTTCGCTGGTTAGTTGATTAGAATTATTTTGTTTAATATAGATTTCCGCGAAATAAGAACTATGAGTAATTTAGCAAAATAGAAAAGTTCTTGTAAATTATTCATCAAATAGAATAAATGTTAAATTATGTTAAAGACAATAATTGTTAAATAGTTTATACATAACAATATAAAATGATAATATTTTTTTGTTTCATGTTTGTTTTCATTTAATGTGCTTTTAGAGAATGATTTTTCAATAGTCGGATTTTAATTTTTGAACTTATTTTTTATTTATAATAAATAATTAACTGAAAAAATAACGATGGCAATAGGCAACATGATAGTTTTATAATATGCAATTACCTCCAAGACTATATATGTAATAATATCGTCATATATATTGCTATATATAAATATAGGAGTATCTATAGTGCAAGCTTTGCTTAGTGTGGGACTTAGGATTTGATGAGGTTTTTATGTATTTAAAAAAAAATCCTCGCATCAATTATTGCTTACTTTACAAAACTTACATAATAAGATTACATGTAATATGATGAACAAAACTGATGTAAATTTGCATTTATTATTCTCACCGACAATTTCTCCCGAAAGAACAACAATGAATCCAATGTAAGTACCAGAACACAGCATCATTGTGGGTACATCTGTTAAATCGTAACTGTAATGGTGAAGCGTGAGACACGCCACTGTTAGCATCTGTAATGAATGCATTTTATATGTATAAAATACTAGCAATCACTCCCGGCTTCATATGTTTTTTTAAAAAGATAAAATACAGATATCACTTGCCGATAATGTAGCATTATATAGAAGTAAATTATTTTTAAAATCGATTAAGTATTTTTGAGTTTATCTATTACAAACAAAAAAAAATACCCTCTTTAAATTAAATTAGAATTTAGATTTAAGCATGTAAGAAGGCTATATTTTAATATGATTGTTAAAACTCTCTAACGAAAATCATTTCGATACGAAGAGATATTTATCGTCCTTAAACAATAGCCAAATCACAGCCATTCAGTCAGACTTTTTATTGATATGACACAAACTGTCCACGGCCCACCAGATAGTAAGTGGTAACCATCGCCTTTAGTGGAGCGAAAGATTGTTAGTAATGGGGTAGTACCAATTATTTGCTAGAAATATACAGGTCGGATCAACCTCCACATGTTCCCTGGAAACCATCACATGAATTCCAAGTGAATTCTACACGATTGACTAACTCGACCTGCCTTTTAATCCTTACGTATTGTCCTTCTCTGGTATTTCGCCAGTATACACCGTTAGCGCAGTTTGGGTCACAATTCTATTATCACGCATAAAAAGCTTTGTCCCTCAGATAAACATAGATGTCGTAATATTCCCAATCTGATAAGAACAATTTTTTTTTATCTACTAGGTTGTCTATCATCATCGTCATATCAGCCTTTAAGTGTCCACTGCTGAACATAAGTCTCTCCCTGGGGGGGGGGGGGGGGGGGGGGGGGGGGGGGGGGGGGGCTGGGGGGGGGGGGGGGGGTATCGGTAGTTGGCAGACAGATTGGCAACTGCATTTAGGCTTTGTTTTAAGAGAAATGCTGCTGTCCATCCCTTGCCCTTCTTTAGTCGCCTCTTACGGTACCCACGGAAATAGATGGGGTGGCCTATTCTATGCCAAGCCATACGGTGGTTGTCTATGCATAATGTTAATAGGTACTTATGGCCAACTTCTACGCTAAAACTTACCAATTCTGATAATTTAATTATACACGTTGGTATTAACATTTTCACAATATATTTATAAACTTATTATGAGAAATTTGTAAAATCAAATATATACTATAAATACTAGTTTTCAGACATGACATTAACGAATATGTCATTTTTTAAAGATAAAACACAAATACAAGAAAGTTTTACTCTTTAGCATAATTATTGGGACCGCAGCGTTTATTCTCTATCTATTGTAAGTTTTACGAATCACTGACTATACCTATATCTACAAAAACAATATAACACTAGACTAACTAACTAGTGAATATAACACATATATTTTTATTTTTGTTCATGAAAATGATTGTGTTATATACATAAGTTAATTTCTAAATCACTCACAAGCTATTTCTAATTTCTTCGTTTTTCACTTTGAAAGAGTTTGTAATAGCCATGTGACATGAAATGATTACCTCTCTAGAGCCTATAAAATAATAAATTGTTATAGCTTATAAAAATCAAGGATTAATAAGGTACATAATTATATTACAGGCTATTAGCGCAGTATAAAGAACTACTATTAGGATGCGGGAGTACATATAATAATCATTTATATACCTGTAACTGTTAAAATTGAGTTCTACCTTGAAATTTAAATACGAATTAAAATCGAATTCAGCTAATAAAAACAGAGTAAACGATTTTATAAATAAACGAGCCTAAAATTGATGCGATGATAGGTTCTATAAATACCGCAATAACTAAAACATTGCGAACTTTTTCAATTTATTAGAAAAGTTAAACAGTATTTCTAAGTTATTTAAGAATTAACATCGAAATTTGAAACAAAGGAGTAACTCATTTCGCGACTGTTCAAAGTTCAAGGGGATACTGTGGTAGATATTGCTTTTATTGTATTTTTTATTAATCCAATATTGCTCAATGAAGTTGAACATTTTGATACTTCAGAAGAATAAAGATTGCGCAAGCAGTAATGAGCTTCTTTACAAGTAAATTATATTGCAGCGAATTTAATAAAGACAATACAATTGACTTTAAAATAGAAATAATATTTAGAAGAGAATTTAAATGTTACTCGACAACTTCAATTTTTGTAAATTCAGTATAAACACAGGTAAAAGATATGATATTTAAATATAATAAGCTAGCTAGCTATACATAATAACATACATAAACCTTTTATATATTACATTTCATTCAAAGCCAAGCGTAAATAAGTACACAAATTCCAAATTGTCTAATCAAACACACTTTTAAAATAACAATAGTAAATTTAGTACAACTGTCCGGGTTATTGTTGATTTATTAATTGCTAATTTTTAAAGTACAATAGTCAAGTATTATTATTTTTCTGAATGAACTTTTTTCCGATTTTTTCCGATACATTTATGTTAAATGTAAAAAAAAAATTTTATGATAGTACTTAACGATCGCTATATATATCAAATATTAACTGTCTTCAATCAATGAATTACACAACCATTGTTAAAGTAAAAAGTTTTGATTAAAAAAATATTATTATTCAGTTCAAAAAAAAAATTATAAAGATTGTTGATTTAAAGTTGAATTAAACATCTTCTCTCTTTTATTGCCAGTTGCAAACTCATCGGCTTGAGATTTTTTCTTATTCTTTTTTTTTTGTATCTCCAAAACTAATATTTTCTTTACAGAGTTATATCCGTTACGAGATGAAAGATTACATTTTTAATTTTCCATTTCGCGAACAAATTAAATTTGACACAAAAAAGGTGTCCAGGGACCTCAACGTCATTACAATGAAGGCGCAAGAATATAGTATTTATAATCAGTTTTATATGATGTTAAATATTTAGTCCTTTTATGGTGTCCATTTTTGGATTCTATACCAAAATAGTATAAAGGAACCCTTATGAGTTCATCTTACTAGATAATGTTATGTATGTATGTATTCTTTGAGACATCGTTAGATACAGTTAACTCACATATATTGCAATAGAAATAACAGCTAAAAAAATGTTAATCTCATTACTAGGAAGTTCAAAGGAATTTATAACTATGTTATAGTTATCAAGCGATTACCAAAAACCTTCAAAAACAATGTTTACAGTTACGACTCGATTTCTATGATAATAAAATTTGTACATACAATCATTTTTTCTCATACATACCTATATTTTTTTCTAATACTGCCTAAATTATTTCATGTGCAGAACTCTCGGTATATACGTTCAACTTGCATTTAACCAGGTTTGTTTAATACTTGACTTATAAAAGACACTAGTGGGGTGATTAAAAGATTTTATTCCTTGTTCTTAGGATTAAAGTCACTAATTCCCATTTCCCGAAAAATACGAGTAATAACGGTATCAAATAAAAAGACATGTATATAAAGGATATAGGATAGTTGAATAAAAAAAATATCTAAATATTAATAAAATAATAAAATAAATTTACTTATGATTTGGAATAGAATAGAAATAAGCTTTTTTCAAAAAGAAATCATTAATTTTTAATCATAAATTTTTCATGATTGTACTACTGGGTTCGGTTATTGTTATCTGCTTTGAAGAACCCGTAAGAAATTCAACAGTTGATCTTTTCTAATTATATTTACAAAATAAGTTTACATTTGCATGTGTATTGAAACTATAAGTAGAATTAAGTTATATTTATATGTATTATTTAATGGAAATTAAACAAGCAAACATAAGCAAACCAGTTCCCACAAGCAGCATCCATTCACGAGTATGACTGATTTACGATGAAGTATTTGTCTAATTTTGCCATTATAGTGAAAATAATATAACTTATTATAGGCAAACTAATTCGCCACAATTTATCATCCAGCTGCACGCAGACAAAATATAGAAATACGAGTATGGAAAATTATATTTATAGGCACTTACAAGTTTGTATTAAATTTCCTTGAATTCGTAAACTAGACAATTTTATTGTGATGATTACAGAGAAAGCATTAAAAAGTATAAACTGAACATTCTTCTTATTTTCAGGTTGAATGTACTTACCTAACCTTTAGAGCTCGATTCTCTTAAAGATGTAAACCATATCGAGATATTCTCTTGAGTTCGAGGCCGATCGTTATTATTGGCAACATTTGAAGGCGGCACTCGGAAAGATGTTGTAACCTAATACGAAATAAATATCAGGAAGCTTATTCTAAGAAGATCAATGAAAATAACTTAATAAAATACGCTTCAATTTATTATTGCTAGGTAATAACATAATGTGCTCGTAAAAGACGCACCATTTGTAATATGATTTTTATGATAACAACGTAGTTTATATTTCAATTAAACAAGTGTTTTCCAAATAATAAAAGGCAAAAATGTAAGTCACTAAATGCATAACGGTACAGTACATCTGCAGGCTGGAATTAAAGACTTATATATTAGCCTTATGTTAATAATATTTGAGTTTTCCATACTAACTTAACAGCCGGATACGCCAAATGAGAGGCTCAAAATTATGGACGTTTTTCAAGTCATGTTCATTTGTTGAAAATATTTAGTTTATTTGATAGAGCTACTTACAAAGATGCTTACACTATCAATTTCAACCTACATATAGCTATTTCTCATATATTTGCTGGAATAAAATGTTAAATAAATAAATATACTTACACAGAAACAGCTAATGTTTTGTGCTGTTTACATACTGTACAGAACTAGTATTAGCAATCTCGTTTATCCTATCGTACTATTTAAACCACTGTATTACAGAGCTCCATAGCAACACAAAGTATTGCACGTTTGGTATTAACAATTAGTAACACCTAACATTTACGACTGTAGATCTGTAACAACATTCTATTGAGGATAAAAAGGAAGCCATCACCGAATAATGAGTGAATTAGTTACTTATTAATTACAATTTAAATTACGAGTATTCGCTTATATATTTTAATAACTGACGTTTATAAAATAGTTGTAAACGTTTTTTGTTATTTATATATCTCCTCTATATTCTTTTTTTTTTACAAATACTTTACTTTTTTTCGTATTTAAAATAATATATATTTTCAGAACTAGGATATTTTCTTTGTCTCTTGGCAAATTTTATTTGTATTATTAGGAGGTATTGACGATTAATCATTGATATGAAACTGTATTAAGAATTCGATGTGTTGCATAGAAAATTACAAGAAACAAAGGCGAAAACAAATTATAATACTAAAATTGAAATTACGAATTGAAATCTAATCGACACCAAAAACATTGTGTTAATTTAAAGTTCCAACTCTTCAATGAAATCCGAGAAACAACTGCGTAATGAGAGCATATATTTTTTTAATAGATTTTAATGGAACAGTAACCCTGCGCTTTACGCTGGCAAGGCACCAGTAAGGAATGATAGGTAAGAATGAAAGGGCAGGTCAATTAGCCCATCGTGACAAATACACTTGAAATTCAACACTATGGTTTTCAAGGAAGACCACGTGGAGGTCGACCTGACAGGGTATATTGCTAACAATGAGACTAGTAGTCCGCATTACTAACAATCCCTTTCCTCACGAGAGCATATATTGTAGCACACCTTATGGTGTAGGTGTGGGTAAAAGTATATCTACATACTATTATTTTTTATGGAACTTAGAATTGCAAACAAACTGCTGCATATATTGCCATTGCATACAGACATAAACAGTACCATAGACATAAAGTTTACTGTGTCACTCATGATATCCCTCATTCGTTGCCATTCCTCAGGACTAAGGTGTTATGTCCCTATACCCTGTAATTTCACTGCCAAGTCCCACTCTTCAAACTGAAACACAGCCATGCATCACAAATGCTTCATGACAGAATCACAGATGGGAGAGAGGTACCCTAGCAAACCTCGATTTAAACAAACCTCTTTCGCTTCTTCCATATTCATCGATCTTTTCATACACGCTCGCCGGTTACGGGTACTTTTAATTTGGCCCTTCTTCCGCATATCGTCTATTTGGTCAGCATACGTCCATCTAAGGCGGCCCCTACCGACAACTCCATTCATTCTTGCTCGATAAATCTCTTTCGTAATTTGACTTTCGTACAAAATCTCCCTCTGGTATTCTATGCAGAATAGCAGTCGTGAGCATATTTATTTACTTTATTTTACTACGTAAATACTTGTATCCCGCAGTTTTGCCCGCAT